TACCAGATCAGGACAGTCAAAATTCTAGCATGGATGAGGGTGCTCATGAATTCCCACCCATAGCTGAAGTGCTATTGGCAATTTGTGGCTGCTGGGGTGGTAAAGTAAGTTGTCTTTACTTTAAAGTAAGGGTATGCCACCCAAGAGGCTAAAAATGCTCCAGGATAGATGGCCCCACACCCATGAACATACACATTATCACGAGGGGGAATCAGGGGATTTATAAAACAGGACATAATGTTGGGAAGGAAAAGTGGTGATGGAGATAGAGAATAGGAAGGGAATGAGGGTGGATTTGTTCAAAGTCAAAATTATATGTGTGTATGAAATTCCAAAAAATTAAAACAGAAAAAAGAAAGAATCTGAATTGTAAAATACAGATCTGAGCACAACGAGTCTTAATGTGAAGTCTATGGGGAGGTGCAAACACAAACATCAGAATCCTAGACACAGGATTATTTACTTCCAGACATTCTGGAATACAAATTATGAACTGAATTATTTTTTTAATTGCTGAGAATTACTAAGTTTCAAATGTGTGTGTAGCACTTAAAACCATAACAGAAATGGGCCTTTTAAACAACTTCATGTCTCATTTTACCAATAATATTCCAGCACTTGTTCACAAATCATTTAAGGCATCCCTGATACATGTTATAAAACACTTTATCAACTAGTTTCAAAGCAGGGATTATGTTATTGTTCTAAATGTAGCACATATTTCTAACAACATACGACCATTTACTTTAATAGACAGCTCTTTATTGAACTGTGACATTGCTAGGCAGACAAAAACAACATTAGAACAAAAACAAGATAAGAGAACCAATCAGTTTCAAATTCTATTAATGTCTAAATTATAATTTATATATATTTTATTGAAGTCTATAATATATACATAACAGAGGAATATTTTAGGCAATTTATAATGGATTAGGAAACAGAAAGAGATTATTGGTGATTAATTTAGATAAAGGATACAAACCATTTGAGGCCTGGGGGTATTTTTGTCAGTTCAAATGAAGATCAGAGGAGTAGTGCTTTACACATAGCCTATAACTCGGTTCTCATAAACAGCCTTCAGATAAAATAAACACACACATACATAATACACACATTTATATAAAATTGGGCTTTGAAGATGGATATATTAATCCAACAATAGTAATTTTAAGAAGCATGTGGTTTGTATGAGAAATGTCCATGAGAATATCCGACACTGAACTCTTGGTCCCCAGCTGGTGGTGCTGTTTGGAGATTAGATGGTGCAAGCTGACTGGAGGAAGGATGTTACTGAGGCTGAGCTTTAAGAGTGCAGTCTGGCTATGTCTAGTCTGCTCAAGTCACTTCATGGTTGAGGTAAAGGATGTCAGTACTCGCTTCCTGCTCCAGCTTGCCTACTGCTGCCATGCTTTCCCACTGTGATGACTTATTCCTCTGGAATCAAAAGCCCAAATAAATTCTTTCTTCTGTAAGTTTCCCTGTTTGTGCTGTTTTATCATGGCAACAGAAAAGTAACACATAATAAGAAAATATAATGTACTACTTATACTTAACCAGAATTGAGAAAGATTTTAAGATACTGGTATGCATAGCCCTTTCACCGTGTAATGCATGATTATAGGTATTTTAGATTGTAAAATATGAACTCCTTGTCATAAACTCAATAATGGTTTCTATCAGTCAAATACCTCAATGAATACAACATGAAGAAAAGTTCTGAGCATACTGTATAGGCTCTAGAGGTTGGATAGAAGGAAGGAAGGAAGGAAGGAAGGAAGGAAGGAAGGAAGGAAGGAAGGAAAGGAAGAAGAAAAGAGTCAGTGTTAGGCTTTAGAACAGATAACAGGGAGAGGTTACAATTTGGTCCAATAACATTACTTTTTAAAGATGTTATACAAAGGTGTGTTTGGGACATTTGTTGGTGTTGTTGCTCAGAGATTGCCAATGGAGTTGGGGCTAGGTTTGGAGGGCAGCATCCACATGCAGTTTGTCAGAGTGTACCATAGAGTTTTCTGGATAACTCAAAGGACATAGATGGACACACAAGAGGAATAAGGAGAACCAAAGGAGAAGTACAGGTCTTCCAAGAGAGGAAGCATGGAGAGTAGAGGCTGCTAGTTGTTTTCTCCATTGCTCTGTGGATATATCAGGTTTTACCCTAGTGATTCCTGGCCATTTTTTATTAATAAAGCAATACAGAAGCCATTTTTAACCATTATATGTACTGATAAGATTTGGAAATGCTTCTCACACTTTAATATGCACCAGAGTCATTGCTGCAATTCGGGTTGCTGGGCCACTCCCCAAGTTCCAAATAGAGTATACCTCAGGTGGGGCCTTGAGACTTTAAGTCTCTAAGCACATGATAATGCTACTAATATGAACCACACTTTGGGCGGTACTCAAAGAGGGATAAGAGGCTTTGTTGCCATCCTTCTTTCAAGCATTAGCAAAAAATCTGTGCATGAATATACTGAAGACTACTTACTTATTGTAAGTCACTTATTTTTCTTCCCTGAGGAAAGGATCAGATAAATGATTTTCTAACAAGAAAAGTTTCCATCACTTGCTGTGAGAAGGTGCCTGCCTCTCAGTCCCACTTAACAGGAAGCACATGAGTTGGAGATAAAACTAGAACAACACCCTAATCACTTGAGGAGAAGCTTCCAGGGTAAAATATCCGAAACCATCCAGTAACCAATTCTGAAGACCTGCCTATCCCATCCTGTTGGACCAAGGATATACATAAATGGTGAGTACTGTAAAGAGACACCAAAAAAATGAACACAGAACTTTTTTAGTAACTGCTCAACTATCTTATTTAAATCTTCTGAGCCAGTGTTGTTCTCACACTCCATGTATTGGAAACATGCAGGGCATTTTTGGGTTTTATCTCCATGTAGATACCACAACCTTTGAGTTATCAAGTAGAAATCTATATTTCTAAGAAACGACACAGGCAATTATTTATATAAAACCTCAAAAATCAGAACATTTCCTGTGTCAAACCTACTTCTTATTCCTTGCCTAAACAAGAATGATATTGATTTACCCCCCCCCAAAAAAAAAACCTGAGGTGGTAATTTAGAAAACAATTATACTAGGTTTTCTATTGCTGTGATAACGACCATTACCAAAACACCTTGGAGAGGAAAGGGTTTATTTCATTTTACAATTCCAGTAACTGTCCATCAGTGAAAAAAGTCAGGACAGGAACTCAAAAAGGGCAGGAGCTGAAGCAGAAGCTGTGAAGGAGTGCTGCTTACTGCCTTGCTCTCTATGGCTTTCTCAGACTGCTTTTTCATACACACCAGGACCATAAGCCCAGGATTATCAACACTCACAAAGGCTATGCTGGGCACTCCCACATCAATCATTAATTAAGCAAACATCTCACAGGCTTGTCTATAGGCTAATTCTATGGAGACATTTCTCAATTGAGGTTCCCTCCTCTCAGGGGACCCTAGCATGTATCAAGTTAACACAACATTAGTTGGTATAGCAATATAGGGAAGAGACTTAAGAAAGAAGAGAAAAACTTTGCATGGATTGTGTGCTCTCTGAACCCTTCTTTTCCTTTTTTCACTATTTCTTTTTCAAATCCATCTACAACAATCAACCCACTTTATAAGAGGCCCAGGCTACCTCTTGATTGGGACGTAAAGACTTTGGGAAAGAAGACACTCATGCTATGCCCTCACATATTCAGAGGTTCCAGCCAAGGTTACCATTTTAGTGCAAAGTCTGGCTAGAAAAAAAAATTCCACTTCATGGAGCATCTATATAAGTTTCTAAGGAATTTCATGATAAAAAAAAAAAAAAAACTCATGTAGTACACTTCATGGTATAGCTACCCATGAGTCATAGTTTTTAATTCTGCATCTCATGGCCATTGGCACAGAACTTTCAAAATAAAATCTGGTAGGATAATTTTTCAAAAATATTTTTATTACTAAACATCCCTGAAAATTTAGAAGAACATATTTTTTCTAATTTTATTTTGAAAAGATTTACTTACCCAATTATGGAAACTTTTTAGCTTAGGATAAATGTATCATGAAAAATAAGGATTTGCTGGGCAGTCAAATAAAATCCTTAAAAGGAGGAAATGCGTGGGGCAATGGTGGCTCACGCCTTTAATCCTAGCACTTGGGAGGCAGAAGCAGGCAGATCTCTGTGAGTTCAAGGCCAGCCTGGTCTACAAGAACTAGTTACAGGACAGCCTCCAAAGCCA